TCTGCTTTCTGTTGGTCAGATTACCCGTTCCAATTGTAATGTTGTGTTCACTCCCTTTGGATGTCATGTGCAAGATTGGCAATCAAGGAAACTGATTGGGACTATGCATAAAGTTGGTGATCTCTATTATCTGGACCATCTTCATTTAAAAACTTTGACTGAAACCTCTGCATGTGTTGCAATGCCTGATAAAGGATCTTTGTGGCATCAACATCTGGGCCATATTCTACCTCTTGGTTAGAATTTGTCTCAACATATGGTACACATTCCTTTTCATTCAACTTCACCTATTGTTGATTCTTTTTCTACTTCTTTTCTTGTTCCTTTTTCTGATGATTGTTCTCCAATGTCTCCACCGTCACCACCCGTAGATGGTTCAACTGTTGATCATTCAACTACTACTATTGAACCAAATCACGCACCAGCACCTGTTGCTCTTATGCAAATGCCCTCAGTCCGTCGCAGTACTGGTGTTTCTATTTTTCCTTCTCGTTTCATTGAATTTTCCTACCTCTGTTCATGCTTACTTTGAGCCACAAACCTATAATGAAGCTTGCCAAATTGCCTGAATGGGAACATGCCATGGCTGAAGAATTGGATGCTCTCGATAGAATGCATGCTTGGGAACTTATTCCTCTTCCCAAGAGTAAGAATGCCATTGGTTGTCAGTGGGTTTACAAAATCAAAACTAAAATTGATGGTGGCATTGAGCGTTATAAAGCACGCCTTGTGGTTAAAGGTTATAATCAACAATTTGAAATTGATTTTGCTGAAACTTTTACTCCTGTTGCCCACATGACTACAGTTCACACCTTGATTTCTGTGGCTGCCATTTGCCAGTGGCCTCTTTATTAACTTGATGTCAAGAACACATTTCTCAATGGTGATCTTGCAGAGGAAGTATATATGAAGTTATCCCCAGGGGTTTCAAATCCTAATAATAGAGTATGTCGTTTACGACATGCACTCTATGGGCTTAAATAGGCTCCACGTGCTTGGTTTGAAAAACGTAGTGATGTTGTTATTTCAGTCGGTTTTCGATAGAGCCACCATGATCCTATCGTGTTCATATCGGTTACAACCAAAGGACGTGCAATTCTTCTCCTCTATGTGGATGATATTATTATTTCTGGTGACTATGAAGGCACAATTCATCGAATTAAGCGACAACTAAATCAGCTTTTTGAGATGAAAGATCTCAGATTCTTAAGGTATTTTTTGGGTCTAGAAGTTGCTTATTCACCTCGAGGTTATTTGCTTTCTCAGCTCAAGTATGCTACATATATGGTTTCTCGAGCTCATTTAGCTAATGATACTAAGCGTGTTGCCACACTTACTGAGTCGAATGTTAAACTTCGTTCTATTGATGGTGAGCTTCTTCCCGATCCTCTAAAGTCGATATGATCGAATTTGAGGGTTTTTTGGGATCAAAACAACTTTTCCTGGTGAATTTTTTATGTGCAATTTAGTTTGATTGTTTAGGGCCTCAACCTTATATAAACTTTTTCCTTGTAATTTTACCTTAAAATTATTTGATCCCTCTCATTTTATGTAATGTTGGAATGCATAGTGTTTTCTGATATTTAGAATCTACTTAATGCTTCAGATATGTAAGGAAATTGACAATTACATGTTGCAAGTTAAAGAGTTTAGGTGAGTTAAAGATAATTTTTAGAGGACATTATTGTGCATCATAAGATGGATGCAAGGTGGATTGAACAACCACTCAATTACTTCATTCAGTAACATGGGTTTTCTTCTCATGCCAAACACTTTTATTTGTGAGAGAAAAACTCTTGTATATTTCAGTATATCGATCATGGGAGAAGGCCCCGTATTTATACAATATTTGACAGGTTACACAGCCTGTGTAATCATATAAAAACAAAAGAAAATATACAAGAAAAGGAAAGACAAATCACAATCTGCATGATAGCCTTTATGATATCAAATAAAAAAGAAAGACAATATTATACTCGCACACTCCACCTCAAACTCGTGATAGTCGAAAGCGAACCATTGAGAGGTTGGAAACAAGGGTGGAAAGCCAAGGAGCATTATTAGACTTCGTAAAGAAGTCAGCAAGTTGTGCAGATGAGGAGATATTATGGAAGAGAGAGTGTCCCAGTTAGAAACTCTTGTCGAACAAAATGACAATCCACTTCAATGTGCTTGACACACTCATGGAACTCAATGTTCTTAACGATATAAATTGTACTGTGTTATCGCAATATAAAGGAGTCAGAGCAGAAAGTTCCACACCCAAGTCAGCCAATAACCAGCGAAGCCAAACAACCTCAGCTGTTGTTTGAACCATGGCACGATACTCAGCTCCAGTTGTAGATTGAGCAACACATTGTTGCTTTTTGTTCTTCCAAGAAAGGAGTCTCCAAGAAAAATATAAAAACCTGTAGTTGACTTCTTATCTGAAGTGGACCCCGTAAAATTGGAGTAAGTGTAAGCACTGAGCTCAAGCGTGGAAGTCGAGGAAAATAATAGAGCATGCTCAAGATTGTCCCATATATAGCGAATAATACGTAACACGGGTACCAGGTGAACAAAGCGAGGAGCACTCAAAAACTAACTAACTAGATGAATAATATAAGCAATGTCTGGCCGAGAGATAGTCAAATAAATTAAACTTCCAACCAATTGCAGGTAAAGAGAAATCTTCTAATAACCCTTGTTTTTACCTTATTTTTTGGAAAACTATCTTCCAATTGAATAGGTTCATTCAAAAAATGAGTCTATTTTGTCCCCAATCATCTCTCTCCTACTGGGATTGATTTAAAAGGGCTACTAATATGGACTTATGCAAAATCAGATCAATCTCTCTTTAAACTTCACTTGAGAATAATATTCATGTGCATTTATTCCAAACACATAAGAAACAAACGCAATACCCTATAACTAGGATCTTCTCAAAACATCAAAATAAATCCCCAAACAGTTATCATCAAAATCATGGTTGATCCTAGCTATTAGTCATATCAAATGAGCAAATATGAAGTATGGAACAAACTCATCAATTGCTCCAACTATGGCATGTAGAGAATAAGCAAATCTACAACTCAAGAATATCAAAAACACCCCAAAAAAAATGTTGCTGGAAATTCTGCAATATCAAGAGATTAAAATCGATATATAAAGAGAGAAGTTAAGGGAAATGGGGCATAAAATTTACACATCAGTAGCTTGTTACAGGGTGACCATTCAAGGCTTTTGGGTGTTCCCTTGTAACCAAGACACCTCTGAAATTTGTAGAGAGAGAGAGAGGAGTTTGGATAGTGAGAGAGACTAGAACACCATAGCTTTCTCTCCCATTTATCCTAACGCCCCAAAATTCCAGCATATGTATTTTCGGAGGAGTTTTCGTTTTTCCTTTTGAACACTTGACAAAAAGAATACATCCAAATATATTATAGTATATTATAATAAGGCTAGGGCATATTGGTCGTCAATTTGGAAAATAGAAAAATGGAGAAAATAAGTCACGCCAACCCCTACAAACCCTGTCTCTGTTCTGCATTTCTTTAATCATCTCTCTTATGAATTTTCAAATGAATTTTTTTCTTTTCGAGGGAGCTTAATGGGCCTTTGGTGCACTTAGCATAACTAAGCATCGCTTTACCTAACTAGAAAAACTCAAAAAATAAACCAACATGGTCTCTCCTTGGAGTTCGATGTTTGCTTCTCAAGACACAATGATCCTCTTGTTTTATTTGCCTCGTGAAGTAGGGCAAAAGCAGGAAAAGAGTCCGGTATTAATTGGTTTGCACCTAACAATTTGCAACACTACGTCTTAAGCTCAATTCCTACCAAGGGTAGGGGCCCTCATCCCACTCACTCACCCAAAAAAATCCCTACCAAGGATAGGGGCCTTCACCCCACTGACTCACCCATAAAAGGAAAGGGATGAAGTCATGGTGGTGGCACACTCCATACTAACATGAAAAGGGCTGAAGTCGTGATAGTGGCACACTTCATACCTCAATTGTACGTTGTGCCCCATTGAAATACCCAAAAAAAAAAAAAAAAGTTAGGCAAAAGGCATTTGTTCAATTAAAAACCCTTTAATCACAAAAATAATTCAACAATATTAATGCATAGCTTCGAGTAAAGAAGTCGGGCAAAAGGCATTTGTTCAATTAAAAACCCTTTAATCACAAAAATAACTCAACAATATTAATGCCTAACTTCAAGTGATGAAAAACCCATTGATCACAAAAACAACTCAACAATATTAATGCATACCTTCAAGTGTCATCAGCGTCAGGACCATGTTGGACAGAGAGCGAGACATATCAGATAATGAAAAGACCCAAGTGGTAGGTCCCACTATCCATTCACCACCATCCATCGATACACTGGATAGAGATAGGGACCACAAATTTTCTATGGTCACACAGGACTAGTATAACTTCTCAAGAGGAACATGCATGAATGGCATCCATGTTCAATGGACAGAGAGAGAGAGAGGGGTTTCATTCCCAATTTATTTTTTGGCTAATTCTTGTAGGGATTGTTTGGTTCCCTGAAAATGGGAATTTTGGAGACTCATTTCGCCAGATATCTAGGATTTCTACAATTTGGAGATGGGATTTCAATCTCTGCATGGATATCTCTATCCATATTTTATGTTAAAACATGGCGATGTGTATTCTACCAAAATAATAATAAAAATATTATAAATTTTTTTTTATTATTATTTATAATATATCATAATATATTACTATTATGAATATTATTATACTATTATAATGTTTATTATTAATATATTTTCTTATTATTTTTGTAACAATATTATCGATACTTTGTTATTATACAATAATATTAAAATTTAATATTAATAGTATTATTATCACATTCTAAACAGTAGACAATTAATCTCCAAGTCTCTTATCAATGCTATCTAAAGAGCATACTCAATTCCAAGAGATACCAATTCGAGAAAGGCATCTCCCTAAGACATGCACCTCCAAGGAACCAATCCGGGCCTTAATAAAAAAAACATAGTAAAACTTAAGAGGAAAGGAGGACAAAATATTTAAGAAGTCATTGGATTGTTCAACCATGTCAGCGTCAATTCTTAAAAGGAATCTTCTTCATAACAGTCGGCATCTTCAGTTTCTATATAGGGCAGCTCTCATCAATCAAGTTTCATGCAAGATGCATATGTACATATTTTAACCTTTTTCATCCTTTCTTCCATCCTCAGGGTTTTCATCCACTTGTAATGGTCTCATGTATTTACTAGAAGACATCTCCATGTACATTATTTGGATCTTGTTTCACCTCTTGTACAAATCCATTCTCCATGAACCTAGAGCTCAAATCAGATGCGAGAGAAAACTAGCAAAGAATCTTGAATTTCTTCAAGTAATTCCTATGCTTAACACTGTTTCGAAAGAAAGATAGTGATTATCTCAATCAAAAGACTAATGTACATACAAATGATTGTCACTATAGGAAAACCATCAACATATATATATACCTCATTATACATCAAACTTAACACTACAAGTCACCCTTGCTTAATATGACCAAACATCTCCGCAAACGAGTGCTTAGGGGCCTCTGTGCGAGAGACTATCTCAACAACCTTGTAGGAAGCCTCTGGATGACGAAGCGCTTCTACTGCAACTTCTGCAACTTGCTCTCGAGATATAGAACCTTCAAAGAGGGTATCCTTCAAAAGAAATAAAAAGCCAATATAAAAATAGTTTATGTAGTTGCTTTGCATTCCAAAAGTGCTCATGAAAACCAAGGCAGTTATAGGGTTGTTTCTTGGTCATTTAGTATCCCAAGCTGCTTTTCACAAACAATACGCACTTGAATGTCATGAAATGACAATATCAATTTGATTTACTCATTTAAAAAAGGAAAAAGTTTATATAAGGTTGCGACCTTAAAATGTAGAATTACTGATGCACCTCAAAAATCCATCGGAAAAGATTGTTTTAATGTTGAAAAACCCTCGAATTGATCATCTCGACAATGAGATGTATGAATATGAAAAAAAAAAAGATTGAGTCTCAGAAATAGTGCATCTTGCAACACATTATCTAGATCGTCCATTTTCAAAAAAATTATATGTTTATAGATCTACTTAATTTTAACCATTTTTGGAGTTTAAAATTTTATAATTAGATATGAAAATAGATCTTGAGATAATCCTAAGAATTTTTTACACCAAAATTACATGTTATGATAAAATTTGGAGGTGCACCTTAATTGGATTGTTTAAGGTTGCAACCTTATAGAAACCACACCCTTTAAAAAAATTTATTTTTATTTATTCAGATATCTAGTTTTTGGAACGTTCGGAATAATAACCAATGACAGCCTTATTTGTCACAATGAAAACGCGAAGTTAAAAGATTATATACTCATCGTTCACTCCCTTGGCTAAAATGTTGTTCAGGAGTATTTCAGGACTCCAAAATTTGGGGAGACGACCTCCTCAACATAATGAACAACCTAAAAGATAAATAAAAATAGTAGCCAACTTATACGAGCCCTATAATTGAACATATGCTGTCCAATATTTGGATGGTCACATCTAAGTTTTTAGCAACTCAAAATCTTTTTCTTATTTTTTTCCCTTTTATTGGGAAATATGCATCTAGACATTCTGAAGTGGATCCCATTCTGATGGAAAAACTTCTCCTAAGTAGGTATTTTTCCTGAGGGAGTAAGATATAGTGTATAGTATGCTCCTTCGAAAGTACTCTATACAAACTCGAAGAAAAAACTCCCCAATATCTGGAGCATCTGAAATGAACTGTATCTAACAAAGAATAAGAGCACATGCTATTGCATATAGCTATCATATCTCCATTACCGACAAGAATTCCTAATTCGTTAATGTAATATCCAAGTTCTTCAATACCTACTTGCCATTATATTTTGTGAAAAAAAATGAACAAAATGGACCAGAAAGAAATCCCTTTGTCCCCTTTCAAGTTTCAGCACCTTTTCAGACCTTGTCTGCAAAAACATGAAGGGAAATATAGGTGTCTCATACCTCAGATTCCATCGCTATGCTTCCACTTGGGGGATCATTTCTCAATCCACCAGGTCTGATAATAGTGAAGTTAATTCCAGAACTCCTGATATACTTCTCTGCTTGCAACTTTGCAATCAGTGTGAGTCCAAATATATTCAAAACAATATAAGCTGGATTGAGGATCTGACCCATTGCAGCACCGTTAACTAATATGGAACTGACAAGAATAAATCTGTTTACCCCAACCGTGCGGCACGCATCAACCAGGTTTACTGTACCAAAGTTATCGACCTGCAATAACAACATTTTCCAGCAATTCCTTTAGGAACACACACAAAGCATATAAACTGACAAAGAAATGGCATTTAGTTTCTTTTCCATAAAAAGTAAGGAACCTAGTGTGCAGGTTAAAGAACTTTAGTACCTTACAATTGATCATGGGATGAGATTCCAGCAGAATTTGCTACCATGTTTGCAGAACAAAAGTGTTGCAAAATCACGAACTTCTAAATCCAAACCTTGTGTATTTGTATTAGAGACGAAGATATTCAATTACAGACATAATAGGATTTCTTCTTTTCAATAAGTTACAAACATTTACTGTCGAGAGTTCTTTTTCTCTAAATCATGTCTGCCAATGGAGAATCTGAGAATACTGGCCTCTGAAAGACTCATAGGTATTTGATGAATAAATAAATTCTAGGAATGATGCTCAGCATGACAACTGATTTTGCATATATTATTTAGTTCTAATGATGAGATAATGAAGTATACAGCCTAAGGCACGTCATTTGCAGCAAAGCAATCGAAGACCAAGTCAAAGCACAATTAGACATACAGAGAAAATAAAGGAAGGGAACAAGGAATATGAAAACAAAAGCTAGTAAAAGATAAATACAGTATACAACTTCAGTTATCCTACTTTTATTCTTCCATAAGTTTTACATACACACTCTATCTTTGTGTGTGAGTGTGTACTATTACTCAAATCATTACTCTTAACAAACTTTAAGATGCTGTACAACTAGATGATAAAGAAGTGGTTTCAAGCGCCCTGTCTTGCATGGTTTATCGCAGGGTGGAACAAAATCATGACTAGATTTTGTAAGGGCAACCAAGAAGCACTAAATAGCCAAATTTCTCATGACATATTTTTGAAAAAATGTCAAATTACAGCTCAAACAAATTCAGTAGAAGTGACAGTTACTCAACTTCCGTGAATAATTTTCGGAAATAAACACAATGAAATGTGGTTTTTAATTAGCTGATTATGGTCTCTATTTAAGGGGTTCAAAGCACTGGTATCTTACTTTAGTAAAACATCAAAGGCATGCAGTTGTATCTGAAAGTAATATCTGGAGAGTTCATCTACAAATATTCACATAATACCGAACACTAACTTCGAAGATGCAGGTTGTAGATCTGAAGCGTCAAAATTCACACGCTCAAAACAACTATTACTTTTGCCACCACTTGAAAAAAAGCACATAATCATCCGATGAATGATGTTCCACAGCAATATGAGGGTTGTTTTAAATTAAGTTCCAAAAATTAAGATGCCATAAACTATCATGCCACAACAAGAAGGAGCCAAATAAAATCTTTGGCACATGGAACTGTGCAATGATCACAGTTCATTTCAAATGAATGGCTGCAAATCATTTTTCCCTTCTTAAGAGATTTTTGCAGTCAATCACATGTCCAGCTCGTGCACCAAATAACCTCCAGGGATGATATAAACAAGGTAGTTTCCAATAAAAATTCTGATTAATGCGATAAGATTTAGCAAAAAATGGTTTTGAATATAAATGGTGTCAAAAAATCGAGACCAGTACCAGGATTGGAAGCTAACAAGCTAGATAAGCCATTTGTTGAAATGTCACTAGCATTAGTCATTGGTTTCAGAACAGTAAAGAATGAAGTATAAATCATCATATGATTAGCATTTCTAAAATCAAATGACCAAGAGGAAGTCATTTTAAGAGTTCCAGCCTATAAAGGCCTATGGTGATTTCAACTTTCAAATTCAGGCAGATCAAGCTTAAAATAGAACTGAACCTGCTCTATATGTGCTACAGCTAGCCTTTAGGTATCCTTTGTCAGGGTGTCAAGAGATCGAGACCAAGGTAACACAATTAAAAAAATTGCGATCCAATCTCATAAAATACATCCATTAATTCAAATTACCACAAAATATGGTGACATTCAACCATAGTTGTTGGAAATGCCTAAGATTCTGAATAGTTTTCAGAATCAACATTCGCACAAGGAGAATCACAGGAAAATGGGATTCCTACTTTATAGGAATCGACCTACATATATGGAATTGAGATCTCAGCTATTTAGAATCGAGTTTCAAACCTATTTGGAATCAACCCATATGGAATTGAGATTTCTTCATGAATGGAATTGAGATTCCGACATCTTTGGAATCGAGTTTCTAACATATTTGGAATCGAGATTCATACCAATTTGGAATCAAGATTCATATCAGTTTGGAATCGAGCTCTGACGCACATAGCAATCGAGATTTGTGACTCTATGGGGATCGAGTTTCAACCCTTTTAGAATCAAGATTCCTACATCAACAACATTTGGTGCCTTAACAACTTAGAACATCATCCAGAAATCGAGATCAGACGTCTTTAAGACCTGAAGAAGAGTTCCTTAGATATGAGTCCATGTATTAGCTACTGAGTCTCAAGCACAGTATCAGAAGTAAGATCAATTTATAGATACTTGTAGTCCACCACAGAAATTGTCTACAAATGATACATATATTGTCTCATGTATTTTTGAAATGTGATTTTAATTTCATTACTATAGTTCAAAATAAGATTTTGTCTGTGCCATGGTGTTGTATATGTTGTAATCCTATTTGAATGATAAACTCCCTACCAATTATATTCTAAAAACAAGCAACAGTCTTAGTACTATTAGAAAAGAGCTATTATATTGCAAGGCCTAAGTTCTCTTATTTTTAATACTCCAACGCCCAAGTTATACTTCTCTTTTACTGGCAAAAGAAGTTATACTTGCCTTTGTTACTTGCAAAAGACATCGGAATGATAGTTGCTGAGAACTTAACTCTTAGACATGTAGATTTGAAAGTTAATTTATGGAACCAATACTTCAGCAACACGTTCAGCAGGTCATTATTCGGAGTAACATGTAAACTATAGGAAACAATCGTCTTCAGCCCAGTTTCCAAATAACACAAATATAAATCCATAAATATTTGAACCAATTCATAAGCCACAGATTTATGCACCTAGAACATTAGTATTCGATTTGGTAGTATTACGATTCCAAAAAGATCAGATCAAGATTCGATGAGGGTGGAAGCAAGATTTGATGTTTGATTAATTTGTGGTTTCGAACCGCAGTACTTGATGTTCAAGAATCTAGATTCGAAAACAATTAAGTATCATTATATGTGGAATCCGAAACCAATAAATGTAGAATCGAAATTCAACAATGGCGGAATCGAGATTCATCAATAGCGGTATCGAGATTCAATAAATATTAGAAACAAGATTCTATAAGTGTTAGAATTGAGATTCCTAAAATAAGGAATCAAGATTCTTGACTTCTACGAAACCAATTCGGTGAAGACTCCTACTCGGAATTGCAGAATCGGGATTCAGAATCGAAATCAAGACCCTGGATGAGAGATTCTAGTAACTAGCTCAACACAAAATTACTTGCAGATAAACACCCAAATAGTACCACAAATTCTTCAATTGGTCCACTAATAGTTCCACTCAATTCAATACACGGAAATTGGTCAAATATGAACATCACATAGCCCAAAATGCATAGAATCAGTCTATACACATAAGGACTTTCAAATACATCAATTAACATACGTAAAAACTCATTGATGTGCCAATCTCCAAATACAATGACAACAACCAAATAGTGTACAAAGTGTCAAGACTATGGGAAGGCCATTGGTTGATCACAAATTTGCTGGTTAGGGTCTTAGATACAATTCATATGATCACCTACTCCAATAGCGCAAGAAATGTGGTCCAATCTAATCAAGAGATTTATGGGAAGCAATAGAATATGATTGCAAGCTCCAAGACAAGATGAAATACATAAAATATGAAATTAAGATTCCGAGAATAAAAATTGAGAGAGATAGTGCATGGTGCATAGTGAAGGCCTAGGTAGTGGGAAAATGCTCACTACTATGGGAGAATGAATTTTAACATAGAATTCCCTTAAGATTTGAACTTATGGGAATGAAAGCGAACTCAAAAACTAGAAGTTTCCAAGTGGAGAACGCAGAAAATTCAGCCGACAAGAATTGGGAGAAACTAGATCAAAATGGTGCTACTAGGCATGGCTATTCAATCTAGCGCGCAATGGCAAAGAAACATTTAATCAAATAGAGCAAAGGAATGAAATTACCTTGCTGTAAATTTTGAATAGACAACAAGAGATAAGGGGCTCATGAGTTTCCCTTATCAATAGGATCATACCATAGCACCAAGAATGGAGCTCCTGATCTCCATGAGGGGGGAATGCTAGTATTGTTGATCTCTCTCTCTCTC